GCATCCTTGATTTGGCAATACATTCGACAAGAAACTTGTCCTTATATGTATACATGTGTAGGATCTAAAACTTGTACAAATTATTCTTCTTCTTACTTATCTCACCGATATGATACGAATATATCTACATAATTCCTACTATGACTGTAGAAAAGAGATAGAACAAAGAGGTATGTAACAAAAAGAAGGCAATGGAGAAGAAGAGTCAGAAACGGTTTGTGCTTATCCATGGGCTCTGCCATGGCGCATGGACTTGGTACAAGGTGAAACCCCACCTCGAGGCTGCTGGTCACAGCGTTACCACAGTAAGGCTGCAGGTCACAGCGTCACCACAGTGGATCTGGTTACTGTATCAACTCTCTTTGGTTGAAGTAAGGTTCTAAGCCTAATCAAAACCTCACTTTTGAAGCCAAAAACGGAAGTTAGCTAGTAACCTTGCTTGGTTAATCTTTTGATATGATCTTGAACTGGTGAAAATGTTGTTGAGGGTAAACCCGTCAGTTACGAACAATCTGGCAGGGACAAGAAGCTTCACTGAAGAAGGGTACGGATCTGTTACACGTATTTATACCGTATGCAGAGAGGATAATGTGGTACCTGATGATTACCAGCGTTGGATAATCAAAAAATTTCCAGCAAAAGAAGTAATGGAGATTACCGATGCAGATCATATGCCAATGTTCTCTAAGCCTCAAGAACTATGTGCTTGTCTCTTGGAGATTGCAATTGTCATTGCACATTAGTACAAACCTCGGGTTCCATCACTATTATAAGTCAAATGTAAGTGATCTAGGCGACTACATTAGAACTACAAATGTATATATATGTATGGGAATAAGCAAAAGAAATCACTCATAAGATGGTTATAAGAATAGGATGTGTGGACTTCCACCGTTGAATCATCAAAGAGATACGGATAACATGTTCATCATCTTCTGAAGATGGCAGATATATAAGCCTAAATAAACCTGCGATATCACTGCATATATAACTGTGAAGTCACATTCTATTCATATTAGTTGTACGAATAGAATTTCGTTTGGAAGACAATCCACAGGTAAGGTTTATGAACAAAAACTCATTTCTACAAGTAAGACTGAAGTCCATAGGATCAATCTTTTGTTAATTGTTGTTCTGTTCATCTAAAGGATTATGCACTAGGAGATCTCTACTTTTATTAAGTAGAAATTTTTATTAAGCTTGGAGCATATAAACAGAGTCTCTCACCTAAAGGGTATGCTCTGAGAGATCAACCAACAAACTCCATCAACTCCACTGACTTAAATCTAACAGTCAATGTGAAGTTGATGTACTTTTTGTTCAACAACACAATCAAATCACATATTCTCTAACGATTATATCCATTCCAGAAATCAACCAACCCACCAACAAACTCCATCAATTCTATTGACTTAAAACTAACAGTCAATGTAAAGTTGGTGTACCATTCTCTGGATCTTGACCGAAAACTAACAGTCACTGTAACATTGGTTTACCAACCCCTGGAACTTAGGGTACGAGGGAAACTAAACAACAATATATAAGTGTTGAACCAAGAAGTTGAAATAAAGAAGGCAATGGAGAAGAGGAACCAGAAGCAGTTTGTGCTTGTCCATGCGGTTTGCCACGGCGCGTGGAGTTGGTACAAGGTGAAAACACAGCTAGAGGCTGCAGGGCACTGTGTCACTGCAGTGGATCTGGCTGCATCGGGTATCAACATGACCAGAGTGGAAGAGATTCAGACGTTGACGGAGTACTCCAGACCGTTGCTTGAGTTTCTGAGCTCGCTTGGCTCGGATGATGAAAAGGTGATTCTTGTTGCTCATAGCATGGGAGGCATACCCGCTGCTCTCGCTGCCGACATATTCACTCATAAGATTGCTGCTATTGTCTTCTTGGCAGCTTCGATGCCCGACACAAGAAACTCACCTGCTTATGTTTTCGAAAAGGTATTCCTCCACTGATTCGGTATGATGATCTCTTAAAGTGATTCTGATATCTGAGTGAAATCTGCAGCTAATCAGTACCGTTACACATGAGGAATGGTTGGACACCGTATTTGGGAGCTACGGGAATCCTGATCGTCCTCTACAAACTGTTCTTTTTGGACCAAAGTTCATGGCCAAGAAGATGTATCAATTGTCTCCGGTCGAAGTAAGACTCTAAGCCTAACCAAACCTCTCTTTTCAAGCACAAATGAGATTTCTAGTAACCTCTGTCAAACTTTTGTTGATTGAACTTGTGGGTTAGGATCTTGAACTGGCGAAATTGTTGGTGAGGGTAAACCCGTTAGCAACGGACAATCTAACAGGGACCAGAAGTTTCACCGAGGAAGGATATGGATCGGTTACACGTATTTATATCGTATGCGGAGCGGATAATATAGTACCTGAGGAATACCAACGTTGGATGATCAGCAACTTCCCGGTGAAAAAAGTAATGGAGATCAAAGATGCAGATCATATGGCAATGAACTCCAAACCTCAAGAACTCTGTGCTCGTCTCTTGGAAATCGCCGATAAATATGCCTAACGTCTCTGCAGATTAGTGAAAAGCTTTAGCTTCCACCACAACAAATAATAAGCAATAAGAGAACACATCTATATGTATGAGAACTCTTACCTTCACTGATATAAACAAACACACTCGCTCTGAAGCAGCAGGTGCTTTTGATCGGCCGGAATTTCTGCGGTTGCCGGAATATAGAATAGAGAGAGAACCGACATTGCTGGGTTTCCGATGGGGGATGAATCTAGGGTTTCAGACGGTGATGGGGAGAGAAAGAGGGAGAAAATACAGAAATTGTATCGGGTATCAAATAGCGTCATCGGTAACTTTGTGCCCTAATTGTAACAAAATTATAAACCTAAGGGGCTAAATTGCAAACACAATGTATTTTTAAACAAAAATATCACATCTTCACAAGAAAACAAAAGCATTGTCACTCAATTAAACAAGCAACACAAACATACAAAGAACGATCTTAAATTTGTATTACAAACGTAAACGCAAGAAGTTATGTATAGAAATCTCCATGGAGAGAGACACTTTGTGTTCAACAACACAATCAAATCACATATCTCTAAGTTTACTGAGATTAACTGGAGATATGACTTTAATATCACCATATAACAGTTGTTTTGCGATGATAACATTTGCTGCTTCACTTGGATGGTAAGGATCCCAAAACACATATTTATCTCTCTCTTCACAAAGACTTGAAGTCGGTCCACACGGAATTATACCCGCATATTGTCCTCCATTGCCGCAACAAGCCTTTGTCGCGGATTTGAACCCTACCAATTTTATGAATCCAATAAATAGTTAGATCATACAAACACACAAAATATGCATTAGTTCTAACCTAAAACGTGTTTGTATACATATATTTGGTAGTGTGTATATGAGTTGTAGACGATGGAAAGATGTATTACCGTATTTTTTGTAGTTAGTGATAAGTTCCATGACGAGATCATAGACGTTGGCATGGACGAACATTGCTCCGGGAAGTTTCTTGTTTAGTTCCTCTAATAAATTCTTTAATCGAAAGTTGTATTGATTTGCTAGCTTATTAGCCAAATCCACACACTCGTCTTCATTTAATTGATTGATCGTTTTCTGGTACGGTATGCATCCAATAGGTCCAACGTTCCCGATCACAAATTTCCTTGCATCCAATTTATATAACCTCTGGATTACAATCATAAAATTCCATTATAAGCTTACAACGTATGATATAAAATAAACAAAACCTCTCTAAGTTTAGTCTGGTGATATCTATTTTTATATTCTTGCTTACCGTGAGTTGATCGCGTAGATGTTCGAGCATATCGCCAATAAAATCATCTGGAGTTTGAGTGAATCGTGTTCCGACAGAGAGAAGAGGGAATAGATAATTATTGAGAAAATCGTTTGCTCCAATAGTGATTGAGAATATCGATTTCTTGCTTATATACTCTTTTGCTTTCTCTTTTCCAAGTAGACCATCAAATTGTTTCCGTGTAGTATTGAAGAAGTCGACTTGTATATCCATTCCTAACCTATTCACCTACCAAATATTTACATTTCAAAAAAGAAAAAAAAACACACAAATTTCATAACTACAAAACGAATTTAAGAATATTTTTAATTTCACATGATTAAAACTTACAAAGATTCTCCCGGTGCCATTCATAATCCCTCCTCCTCCAGATGCATAATTCACACCAGCTAATAAAGCTTTGCCAGTCGCGTTTGGTGACAAGAATGGGATCGCGTAGTTCGCTGACCCGAGTTCCTCCCCTGAAAAATCGTAAATTAAATTAACGTTTTAGAAGTTAGAACAAAAATTCAAAGATGCTTATGAATAAACATATAAAAGTGTAGGTATGTAGTTCAACGTCATTTCTAGACTAATAATGTACGTACACCACATATCATTTACTATAAAGTGCATGGTTGATAGAATATAGATGGACATATTGATAACAAAAAGTTTTGAATTTTGTACGTACCAACGATGTCACCGATGGTCCGGCCGTTGGTAAACCGGCCAGTAGGATTTCCTCCGGAGGCTTTGAAATCGATACCATTAGGCTTCATATTAGCCCTAGACAACGTCGGTAGATAATTATTGTTTCCGGCATCGACTAGAGAATCTCCAAATATAAATGAAGCTCCTAATCCGCCTTTGTTATCATTGTTAACTCCACGACCAGCAGCTTCCACTAAGGCGGTGAGAGTTAACAAGAAGAACAAGTAGAGAGTCACGTCCATGGCTGTGACAACTCTTGTGGCCATATCTTTTGATTATGGTCTGTACAGTCAGTAGAGTGAATTGATAAATTTTGGTGTTTTTGTTTGAGATTTATAAAGTGTCTGGGATCGAAGGGAAACTTGTAAGATTGTGTTTAATTAGTTGAAATGAATTTGGTTTGACGGATTTAGATATAAATGGAGGCTTCAAAATTTTTCAAGTGGTGGTTCATCAACGTGGACTAGTTTTTCCTTTTGCTTGTGAGAAAATAACGACACTGCCTTTTTAATTCGTTGGACGCTTTACCTCTATGGATTTGGACTCGTAAATATTAATCCAAGCAGCTCAAATTTTGTTGGACAAGAATT